TCCCACACAATTAGAATTGATATCATCTTTTTATATTTTGCAAATTATTAAAACTATTTTTAACATAATATATTAATTCAAAACTATTTTTAAGTGATATAAAACTAATTGGATGTAAAATAATTATCTAGATTACTAACTAAGAAAAAATCTTCTATTTCATAACAATAAATATATGGATGTATTAGATCTTACGTCATATTACTACTTTAACTGGATAAAATCCAGTTATCAGTTATCTCAATTGATATGTTAATTAATCACTCACCAATCCCAATGCGCAACAGCGGAATTATATCTGCCACGTAGCTACGTTGATTCTGTAACAAACAAATATAGAATTCATATTAGAACAGTGTTAAAAAAACTCAATGTTTTAAAACATAGATAATTCATATAGCATCAAACGTTTTATTATTAGGATAAACTCGGGTAAGATGGCCATAGAGGAAAGATGGCCAACTTATGTTCTTTCAATCTAGCTCGTCATGAAATATCAAATGAACATGTGTTGGCCATCTTTCTTCTATGGCTATCTTACCCAAGTTTACCCTATTTAATTGGATATTTATTTGAATAATTACACATTTTCCGAAAATAATATTTACAAGAATCAATTTTTATAAAATACTAAATTACTCCTTTTCTTCCAACTATTATTTCTAAATCATGATAAAATAAAAAGGCTCAAGAATAAACAAAAAAAATTACTCTTGCACAAAATAAAAATTAATATTTACCGCAAAGTTGTTCCGCTGGCGCCTGATGCCTCTCCCAGGCCTCCTCCTCCTCTCAAGCTGTCCTCTCGGATTGTTAGTTCCCTCGATGCTCGACACAACTCCACCGGCACACGTATTCGCGGATAACTATAATCGCGCGATATTTAATACGTCTGCACTCCCGAAAACGTTACGTAACGACCGAGTTTGTTTATGGAAAAATCGCCCGCGATAACCGCGTTATCTCGACACGTTCAGAGCCGGACAACTAACTCGATTTGCCCGATTAAGGACTTAGCCCCGCGTGGCCAGTTGAATAGTGTTCGACAGAGAGAAGAGAGATCCTCGAAAAGTAGAAAGCGAGCTCTCTACAATGAGGATCATCTCCCCTCGCCACCGACACGTCATGGTAGCACCCTTCCACGCGCAGTGAAGTCAAATGATCTGGGCAGTTCTTGTTATGCGATCCTGGCACCTTTCCGCACAGGACCACGCACGAGACAGCCGTCACGTCTGAGAACGTGGAAATTGACGCAGTTATATACTAATTATTAAAAAAAGAACTTTATTTTACGCGACGATCCCGAAACGCGAATTAACGTTCGATTATTTCCGGTGGACTCGGACGGCAGAGAAACGACGGAATTCCGAATAATCCGACGACTTCGAACGACACTCGCGAAAATGAAACGCAACGAACCGTTTATACAATCGGCGACGATAGTTTCCCCGTTGTTCGGTAAAAGCCTGTAAAAGATAAGATTACGCGTACGTTTAGGTCGGTATACTTGGTTGAGATATATAGGAATACAAGTACGCGAGAATAGAAATATACGAGAATAATATATATATAATCAAAAGGAATGTATATAGAAATATATATATATATGGGAATAATTTTCTTTAGTGTGTGTGCTGTAAAATTATTTTTAAAAAACAAATTGAAAAAACAAATCAGAGTAGAATATCTATATGTATATAAAATAGAAGTATTATAATACTTCTATTTTATATACACATATTTCAAAATATATTTATATATATATATATACGTGTAGCTTGATTGAACTAATTTACAAAATATTTAATCTCGGACAAATATATTTGGGGAAGGGATTAAAGGAAACACATGCCGAACTCATTTAATAACTTATTCCCTATCTAAAGACGATTCTTTATTTCTATTTTGCATGTATAAATATCCTGTATTAGTTTTTTTTGTGAAAAAGAAATCTGTAGAAAAGCTTTATATTTTTAAAATGCCATTATTTTGTTCTCAATACGATTTTAATTTTTCTTATACCTTCTTTACCATTTCAGCAATGTAACCAAGAATCTGTTTCTATAATTTTTTCTGATGTCTATATGGAACTATTTATCTTTATTAAGATACAACTCCACATATAGATATAAGTATTTCATTTTTGTTGTCTGAATTCTATTGTCCAGGAAAAAAACTTTACATTTTTTTTTCCTGAGTAGTTTATATAAATACAAAAAGTTGCAATACAATTTCATCAGCAATCGATGTATAAAGTATAAAGATGAATAAATAAGTTGTAAATTAATCGCTACCAATTAATGAAACTCTTCTTTATACGTTTTAACATATTAATTATAATTGTAAAAATTACTAAAAAGATATCGGTATAATTAGTTTATATTTAGAAGTAATTTAGGAATGATGAATTTTGGCAGGTATTAATTATATCTTAGAATATAATTTAATATTTGTGATAAATAAAGCCAAAAAATACATTTCAATATTTTACGTAATAAAATTTATCATGATTGGTGATGATTTAAAACAGGCATATTGCATATGACGTGTGCTAACAGAAATCTTTTTTGCGTATTTTAGTTTTTGTTTATTTCCATGGATATTGGAATGTATATGTCTGTCGACTCTGTCTCCGTGAATTTTATTTTACGTTTTTTCTGACAAGGTTTATACCCTGACCATCATACTGCTGTTTAAACATTATTCACATTAAAATATTGCATTTTGCCGCGATAAAATCTCTCTGTTATTTTCTGAAACGGCTTTATGTTATTATCACAAATGGAATATCGGTTTCGAATCATAATTTCCTGGCAATGCGACAGTTTATTTTCCCTCCCAATGCCTGTAGATAGGAAGAAAATGTAATGGAAGGACACGAGACTGTTAACGGCTCGTCTCCTTCCACGATGCAATCAGTGAAAAATAATTGCAGACAAAATTAACCGCTTACGCATTCGAGTCTGTTTTAATTATCAAGCGCTCGCCACTACGCCGATATTAATGGTGTGCATCTGTTCGAACGTAAAGGCCGGTTTTCACACGCAATGATTGGTGGCGCCAGGCCGCGCCAGTCGACTAATGCCAGTAAAAATGCAAGTGTAAACACTTGATGCAAACTGGCGCTAGTAATGTGGCGTTTACTGGCGGTTATTGGCCAAAGCATATAACCTCAAAATTTGAGGTTATATGGTTGTTGTCATTTACTGTGTGTTTAATAAATGTTAAATATTTTCCATAGTATACGCCAATCACTGTGTAAATACTTGTAAGTTTGCTAGTCGGTTCTGGCGCCAATGAATGCCAGTCAGTTGGCGCCACTAATCATTGCGTGTGAAAACCGGCCTTAAAGTTTTCTCTCTGCGCGTGCCATTGGTTTAATCGCACGTTCTCAGGCGGTAACGATCATTTGTTTAAGATAGTCGAAAATAATGCGCCCCGGCCATTTCTTCCTTTCTTCTTCTTTTTCGACATATTTTAACGAAATAAGGAAACGGCGCTGGAAAGAAAAGAAGCACTGCGTTCATTGTATTGATTTTTCTAATGATATGAAAAATACATCTTTTTTATGTTTATTATTCGCTTATCTTTATATGAAAGTTGAGTTCTGTGTTTCATGGCAAGATAATAAGGCCCCTGGCCACTTTGTATCGAAATTACGTATAAAATATCTTAAATAGAGAGACTATAAGAGGATCAGAAATTTACAAAGCTTGTGAATTTTCATGGTCTTCGAATATCTTAATGAAACTGTAATATTTATAACATGTGTCTAGACATTTCTATTTCTTACAGACAATTATCACTGTTTTCACTAAGAGGTATAAAATGATGTAATGTCTTATTTCGAGGGAAAAAAACGTAACGAAAAATATCTGATTGTGAGACTTGTCGGTTGTAGACATTTATAATTATTTCGAAGTACGTTATGCAAGATGAGTTTTCTCTCCTTCTCCTTAGTCTCGTATCCTCGGAGAATTTTCTCACCTTTATACTTCTTTCTGTTACTTTGAATATTACATTTGAGCAAATTTTATAATAAAAACAAACTCCGATATATTCGCATATCGAACTCCACTTTGTTTATATAAAATCACACACAAATTGTTAATTCTATATTAGAATTACTTTATTCTTGGGATACCTTTTATTAACACTTTATTAGTCTTTTATATATGGTGCAAAAAAATATCTTTTCTGTGAAAAACGTTACAGTAATTATAATAATTATAATAATTTCGTCGGATATTTTATTCAACATAGAGGACTGTGATTACGCATTGTGTATAATCATGATAAATGTGTAGAACAAAGGGACGTGTTGCTCTGGAATCGACGTTAGACTTTTTACGTCCGACATGAATTGTAGTGGCGAATGTCGGAATTAAAAATCGCGCACAATCCGACACCCTTGGCCAGGATTAACTCTGAAAAGCATTGCGTTCTCACAAGACCGTGATTGCGCGTACATTATAGAAGGGCGCATTATAGAAAGTAATTTTGTTGTTACATGCCCGCGAAACTTCATAAAATCAGACCGGGCGCTTTTTCCATCTGCGAGCTTGGATTATTTCATTCTTTGGGTGTTTTTCATCGCGTCCATTCCGCTCGTTCGCTGTACGCGATTTCGTCCGCGTTATGTTTTCGCGGTCTTGCTTGGCCACAGCCGTTTCGCAGACAGAGAGCAGAATATATGTTAAATACAGAACGTTGCGTAATGGTTCTGTTATCCTCATTTTCTATGCAGTGATAACGCAATCAGCGATGATATTTTTTGCAAGAGATTTAGATTTTTTTCTTGCTGGCACACATTTCTCGAGCGAAGATGTTTTAAGTTAAAATTAGTTGTGTACATGTAACGCGCTTATGTACATTTTTGTTTGATTTGTTCGATTGTTCGATGTATCGCGTATTTTTCTGTTTATTGGATGTTCGACGTGTCGCGTAATATATGCATAAATCCTCGTGTTATTCAAAATTTGTCTGTCGTTTGATTTCAGAATACTATTTTACCCGAGGCTGTGCACTTTTGGGAACGAGCATTGATGGTGCGAGAGACAAAGAGCACCATTAGATTGAACAGGTAAGGATATTACTTAATTATATATCCTATTTCTTTTTACAGCCGATCGCGATTTTAATTAGACAATGTTTCACTTTTCCTGCTTATACTGAGTGATAGTTTTTCAACTTGAATACTTATCATAATGCTTTAGAAGAGGACATTAAATCATTATATCATTAATAAATGGTTACCATATTAATTATTTACATTTATAGCTCATATTTTTCGTTCTTTGGAAACATTTATTTAGGCTGCGTTCCACAACTACGCTCTTAACGCTCAAGCATCGTTCTATCTTTGTTACTTACAGAAAATTGAACAAGAACAGAGCACGCTTATAGCGCTAAGAGCGTGGTTCTGGAGCCTGGAGTTCTGGGTAGCCTTAGTAGGCAAAAAAAAAATAGAATATTAATATCTTAAATACTTTTTTAAGAAACTTCATAATTTGTAACTATTTTTCATAAGGCTTTGGGCAAGTAGTTTTAGGCAGAAGTTATAAGTGTATTATATTCCATTAGGTATTAGTAACAAAATATTAATTATTGAAAAACAAACTTTTTCAAGACAAAGAAGTAGCGGAAATAAAAGGAAATGAAGGAAGAATATTAATGCTAGATAGTGTAATCCGCACCGAAGACCGTTTGCATTCTTTTATTTTAACATGTTCACGTACATGGCTGCAGTCATAGCGTTTATTTGCATATATACCAAGATGCTAAGCTAAAAGCGTGTGAATATGTATCGCACGTATTTGCGTGTTCGCATAACCGTTCGTCTGATTTACCACTGTAGAAACACGTACTAACGTTATTATGGTCTTGCAGCATTGTGACGTGCATACTTGTCGTGATCCAATATGTTGCTGATGCGATAAAATAACGTTCGTTTCGAAAAGTGATTGTTCGACACAGCGATGAGGAGTAAATTGTTCAACGTTTTATTTTAAATTTTTCTTTGGAGAGACTAAATCGGATTACTTTTTTTATTTTTCTTTATTTATATTTTATTATTATTTATTGTTAAGCAACTTTATGAGATTTTATAGTTCTCTAAAAATGCAAGTGCCACCTAAATTGAATTCGTCATATCCAAAAATGCATGGAAGATATGAAATTTCCCACACATGAATAGTTGATATATTCGAAGTCTTTTTGCAGCAACATGTCGGCATCGGCTGTGTTGCTAGACACATCGGAAAGAGATAAATGTTTGCCGTTCGTTCTCGACCCTTTTCCGGACGCGGTAGCCGGCGTAGTAGTTTGGCCGCAGATACGCTAGCAACCTAAATTAATGCATCCGTGTCCGCCGACCAGATAAATAGAACACATGGAAGTGCATGGACATAAAGTCGCATGCGTGTACACATAACTGCATAGTTATGTGGTTTTCTGCGCTTGTAAACAGGCTCTACATTCCTCCCGTGTTTCTAACGAGGCATGACTTTTCGCCGCGATGTTGGCACGTATTTCCGAAACCACGTGCGAATTGTCTCGCGTGAACAGCCATTCGCGAAGACAGTGTAGCTATGAGTTTTCTGTGATTACCTAGCATGTGGATGACTTAGTGCAAAAGTGTGTAATTCAAGATACTAAGCTTTCTTGCATCGGGGCTATCACTTTGCTCTCGTAAATGGAACGTTCTCATAACAGTAAAGCAACAACTGTGTTGCGGATTGGAAACTTGAGAAAAGAAAGAACTTTATATTTTTGTAACCTTTTTGATGTTTTAAATTTAAGATATTTATCGCCAGAGATATGTTATAAAACAATTTTTATGAAATAATTGTTTTTTTATTGTGTAGAAAATTAACTTTAAAATATCTTTGCAAATTTAGCGATTTAATTAAAAATAATTAAAAGTATAATTTAGTATAGGTAAGATAAATTTATAGTCAAATAAACAATGTGTTCAGGAATTTATCCCGTTTATCTGTTTAAATCTCTCGCGTGTATGATTTCTTGATTTCCATGTCATTCATTATTATTATTTATTATAATATAATATTATTGCGTGCGATCATCTTATTCTGGATGTATTAAATTCATTGAGTATATTGCACTTCCTCGAGTATATTTTTTTATCGAAACAGATCGCGTTCATATATATTTATGCACATTTTTTCTTCTATTTACTACCTCTCGCTCTTATTCCTTTCTCTCATTCAATGTGAAATTATAAAAATTGCTTGTACATTAAATGCATCATTTCAGCCTGAGATCAGCGCCGGTATAGACAATACTCTTGATAATGGAGCGATTATTCCCCCATCTAAGCCTACGGATATCCCGCTCAAAAAAAGCTTTACGCTTCCGGTATTCACTGCTGCCGCAAGCAAAGGGTGTTAAGGGTGAAAATTACGCGAGGGATGGCCACCCTCCGCTTAAGCTGTGGCCAGTGCAAATTCGATCGATTGGAATGGACGTGCGCAGCACGACTTTCTTTAGTTTATTGAGCTCAAGCGTATATTTCGTATCCTTATAGTGTTGACGTTCAGAGAATAAAAGAGAAGGGAGCTTACGAGAGATAGGTCGAGGCGCAAACCGGGTGCCGGATATAATACAGAGAAATGCGTGAACTAAAATAAGACAAGAAGAAACGTGGGGGGTCGATTCTAGGGCACATACATCAATCTCTTGCCAACTTTCGTTTCTATTGCTGCCAATAAAAATCCAGGCGGGAACTCGTGGTAATCTTCGCGTGTCAGCTGCCTCCTCGCGAAAAACTTTGCACGTTTATCGATCTTCTATGTATCATTATATATACTATTTCCCGTCACGGCTGCGGTGCAAACCGGAGATAAGACATTTGCCATTAAAGTACGTTCAATAGAGTTGATCGAGTATCCACGCGAATGGAGATGTCAAATTCCGGAAAACCGAAAGTGCGAATGACGTCGTCCTTTACGCTAGTCGCGTACACTACATTTTTGATGAAGGGAATGTATAAGTACAATAAACCGGGAAAAGATTGCTTTAGCAGGGTTAACTTTGCGCTACAATAAGAAAGGAATATCGAACAGAGTATTATAATTGTACACAATGTGCCAGAAACGGTTTATGTATATTTCTAGTAACAATAGAGCTGTAACGATTTCTGCCGTAACAAAGGAAGGTTGTAGAACCATGGCAAGTACCAGAAAATAATATAAGTATCAATAAGATACAATGTCGTTGACATGGACTTTAAAACGTTTTGTTATTTTCATCGACAATGTTGAAAATCTTTTCTCTCCTTTTATTTTTTTTTTTTTTAACTTTGATATAAGATTAAAGTAGTTGCAACAATTTCTCAAGTTATTCCATCTAAAAGATATAATTTACAATAGAACCACGGAATAAGAAGCAATTTTTCCTGAACATATCTTATCTTTATATAAAAAATTAACAATCTTTTAGATGCAAAAATCTTTTTATTATAAAAATTTTATTTATGAGAAATTTGATAGATACTTTATTATTAAATTTAATTGAAAAACTGCCTCATTGTTAATTATTCCTGAGCCTGAATATAATTTCTGCACGATTTATAATGTAAGTTGCTACAGAATTTTTATAAAATTATCTTCAAATAGAACTTTTTTTTTTATAGAACAAAAATGAATATATTACAAACACGCAATTTTTCATGAGATGTTAAGAAAATTGCATTATTTATTTGCAATTCCCTTCCTTCCAAAGATTAATCGCGTCGAAATATCGTGTACAATGTATCCCGGATTATGGACGGGCAGCACATTAATTCGTGTCGGTCTTCACAAAAGGTAAATGTAATGCCTGTCGCTCAGAATGCAGAGTGAAATCGGATCAAATGAAACCTGTGCACAGGGGCGCCTACGTATACAAGCGCAGGATTGCGTCGGGCACGCGTCAAAGGAGATTCGATTTGAAAGAGAGAGAGAGAGAGAGAGAGAGAGAGAGAGAGAGCTGGTTGCGTTTAAACGGGGCGAGCACGCGTGTAACGTTTATCGGTCGAATGCGCGCTACGATATGGTCGGTAAGGGGCAAGGATTGCGGAGGATGATTCGCGGGTCGTTTACATAACGCGATATTACGGCATAACGACTGTAACGCTTTAATGCACTTCCGGACCGTGCATTGAGTTGCCGATTGAAGATGCTTTGAGAGCCTCTTTAGCCGCGTTTGCATGGAAGCGGTTTAGCTTGCATTCTATCTCTCTCTCTCTCTCTCTCTCTCTCTCTCTCTCTCTCTCTCTCTCT